CTCACAAACTGTTCAGAGAGACACGTTCAATAATGGTCAATCCACCTTTATTTTGTGATTTATGAATCATGTCTATTGGCTTGGCTCGAGAAGGTTTGTGACTTTTAAAATATTGGTCTCCAGAAAAAAAAGTTTGGGAAACACTGGTGTAGAATAAACTCCAAACTCAATAGGCGAGTTTCAGCTGACGTCATTGTTATTAAAAGCATGCTGGGAAATATTTTGGTCGGAGGCAAGAAACACGGTAGCGTCAAACACAGTGCATAACCTCGCGTATTTATCCCCGATAATGGTAAATTCCTGCTGTATTATCGGATGCACAAATAGAAGCACGGAAGAAGGAAAATGTCTTTTTCATATTCTGAGTGAAAAGAACCGCTAACGGTGAATTAAACGGCTTTCAAACATCCGCAGAGCAAACGTAGAAGATCCTAACAAACCGTGGACTCCAACAAGTTCAACAACACATCGAGACTCTTAGAGGATTTCATCTTTTCTGCTGTAGTGAATATTTGTCCAGGTAGTTGGCGATTCTGACCAGAAGTTTGGTTTGGTCCACCTTTTGTCGGGGTTGAAAAGGGTGATTTGTCGTCCATCGATGCTTATGACCAATTTCTGGTCAAATGGTCTTGGGTCCTCTGCCGTTAGAGTGGATAAATAACCGGGATCAATACCCTTTACGTGCTTTCTCACTCCGTCCGTCATGTTGAATTAGTGTTTATTGCCGCCGACCAAAATAATTCCCAGCATGCAACGCGCTCTTTTGTCAACAGTGAAACTCACCTATACTGAATTTGATACCAGAATGATCATGAACAAATGAAACTGAATTAAATATGCTTTATTTAAATGCACTGATCGTAATTCAGTCTCCATGGATATTGATTAGTAATAATGCCATACTGTGGAACATTCCAGACAAGTTACGTAGTGCTGCTTTAATACCTGAATAGACTCTAGCGTTCAGTATTGCTTTAAGTTCTTTGCTATTGTTCAATTTGGTTGAAGCTTAAAGTGAGTGTGGGAGGAACAAAAGGGCCACACTGAGGATGGGAGCAGGTTAATTATAGCAGCCATTAAGTCAAACACAGAGAAGAGACTCAGAAGATGTAAGAAAGAAGGGATGGGTTAGATAAAACGGTTTAGTGAAAGAAAATATTCAGATTTTTTTGTCTATTTTTGTTCATTTGTTCATACTGTGCACCTTTGGAGGGTACGCCAGCTGTGGAGGTGTTAATACTTGTTAATACTTTGGAATGCTCCACAGGATTAAACCAGTTTTCATTTTGGACAAAAGCAAGCCGAGTTCAGGTCACTCCCAGCGGTGGTAAGGTTCTGTCACCTTTGTGTTGGTGGACAAGTGCTCTAACCACTGAGCCACTGTCCCCACTTTCTGTGCTCAGGGGTGCAGTACCTATGGTGTGTATCTTAAAGCTCTGTGTGCGACACCTAGAGCTGGGGTGGGCAATTCTTTTTTCCATGGAGTCACATGAAAAAAAAAAAAAAAAAAAAAGCAGTAAATATCATTGTTTTGATTGTTTTGGTCGGACTGGTAAGAGTTTATGTTATGACTCAGCAATGAAAAAGTGAGATTGTGTTAAAAAAAAAAACACCTCTAAAATAAAAGCAATGCAGCTTTAGTCCAGGCATGTAAAATTATAAAATATGTTTATTTTATAATTCCAAATGAGCTTAAACTGGCCGCTCAGAGTCAACCAAAGCACTGTATGTGGCAAGGGAGCTGGACAATTCCCAGTTCTATCCAAGCCTAAGAAGCAGGTTTGACTGACAGTTGGTAGAGCGTTTGTCCACTAATCCGAAAGCTGATGGTTCAAATCCCACTCTTGACATTAACATCACTGGTTGAGTGGTCAGATCCACTGACACATAGGTTGGTGGTGCAATCCCTGCTTCTACAGACGAATGCTGTCAATGTGTCATTGGGTAAGACATTTAAACCACCTTGCCCCTAGTGTCACACTTGTACACGAATGTGTGTGTGAACGGGTGATTGGCTGATTGGCTCTTTGGTTGCTATTATACCTGTGTTTGGAATTCCATATATGCAACTCTGCTCAATGCAGCCTCAATGAGCTTCATTTGACTGGAGCCAAACGCACACTCACATAGGCTACGTTCTGACTGCAGGGCTTAATGCTCAATTCCGATTTTTTTGTGAAATACAATGTTTTTGCGAGGTCGTTCACATTTCCAATTAAATGCGACTTGTCTGTGACTCCAGTGTGAAGGTAAACGGCCCGAAAGTGTCTCGCATGTGCACTGGAGACACGATGACGTCAACCCCATTCGTCAACCTCAGCGAGCGTGCTCTGTGTTTACGGAAGTTGTCCAAACATGGACGCGAGCATTGAGCACCTGGCGATTTTACAGTTCTGGTTTCTGCCTGCTTCAGAGCAAAATAGTGATGTTTGTGGCTTGTTGATGACGTGTAGGTCGAATGAATGCGCTTTGGCCGTTCAGACTGAAGTCGCATGTCAAAAGATCAGATATGTATCGGTTTCAGGAGCACATATCCAAGTGGCCTGGGTCGCATTTGAAAAAATCGGATCTGTGCCATTCAGACTGTCATTAAAAGATCGGATACAGGTCACATAGAAGCCAAAAAATCGGATTTGGGTCACTTCAGGCTGCAGTCTGAACGCAGCCTTAGTCCACTTCTTTATACAGTCCATGTGTGTTACCTGTGGAGCGGTGTCATTATCCCCTCTGTGTTCATCTTCAGGTTATATTCTAGTGGACCTGTGCTAACTGTTGATGCTAACTCTAAACACAAGACACTTCCTGGTCAGACGAGGTGATGATTATTTTATATCAAGATCTCAAGGTCCTACATTACACTAAATGGACTCTTGTGAGCTTTAAGTCATGTTATAATGTTGTTAGCTGCTCAAAAACACACCTGGAGTTGTGTTTTATTTCATTCACACATGTTTGAATAATCCTTTATTATTAGTCTGTCTACATCTCCAAAGCTTAAAATGCTCTGTTCCAACTTGTGATGTCATGAAGTGGTAGTTTTCAAGTTAACATTACATTTTACCTTTAGTTTAGTAGAGATTGTGAATTCCAGATCTGAAATTATCCACATAACTCTCATGAAGGCGTATGGAGTTTAAAAAGATTCAGTTTGAGAGAAGAACTCAGCCTGAATATGAAGGATTTGTGCGTTAAACATGTGTGAATGAAACAAAACACAACTCCAAGTCTATTTGTGATGAGGAAACAACATTAGAACAGAAGAATCAGATCAGAAAATAGTGTAATATGGGCCCTTTGAGAGATATTTAACCAGATCAAATCCCAAAAAAGATCTTCTCAGTCATATGACAACAAAACCAGAAACTGCACTTAAACACAAATATTGTCTTCTGAGAAATATTAATTAACTTTGCTGCGGTCAATGGGTCCTGCGCTTTGAACCTTGTACCTGAACCTCCTCCGCTCTTTATAATATTGTCTATAGTAAAAACACTACAAACCCTGTACAATACTGGGCCCCTATGAAGTCAAAAGTGAATCTGCAAACAGCGCAAATAGAACAAGGTTGCAACGGGAAACAGTACGGAGAAAAGGCCCATTCACAACAATTTTTATAATCGTCGTGACAACAAGCTCTTGTGTAAACGTGTGAAAGACATGACAAAGCATATACTGTCAGTGAATATTGCGCGTGCGAAACTTGAAAATGCAAAAATTACAAAATGAAAAATAATAATGCGTGAAATTAAATTGAAAAAAAAAAAAAAGAAAATTGTAAGAAAACAGAGGAACAAATAGAATTCAAGTCTGACTGCTTAAACTGGAAACTTTTGGAGGTTTTGTGTTTGGTATCTTAAAGGTACAGTATGGAACTTTCTGGACTTTACGCCTCACCTGCTTGATTCCACGGAAATACAGTTAAGTTAAAGCCATACTTCGGAGCATTTCCCGTGGAGATAGATTTATAATGCCATACTGCGGGAGATTATGGCCAAAGGAACAGCATTTCCGTGGAAACGAGCAGGAAGAGGCGCTCCTCCGGGCCGAGTACGAGGCAGGTTTGTGGAGACGCGAGCCTGCTCACAGTAAAAACAGAGGTCTAAAGATGCACTGCTTTTTCCGATGCCGATACCGATACTTTGGCTTTGGGATACCGAGGCAAAGATGAAAATATATAGAGATCTAGAGATTTCTTTTTAAACATAAACAGCAGAAGGTAAAAAATAAAATAAAATAAAAAATCAAGCCGTGTTTTGTAACTTTTTTTTTTTTTTTTTTTTTTAAAAATGCGCATTTAATATTATGAGCCGTTTTGGGCCAACATTAGTCAGTAAATCGTCTCATTACACCAGTTTATAGAACAAAATGGGATATCGTCTGGACCGATATCTTAGAAGTCGATGTCCCATTTTGCAATTCTATAAATCGCTGTAATAATTATGGTTTTAAGTTAATTGTATTCCATGGAATCTTGAGGCGTCAGTTCCAGAAAGTTCCATACTGTGTCTTTAAGATATCAAACACAAACTCAAATTTGAACTTTAATTTCAAACATTTTTTCCTCTTCTTTCTTAGAATTTTATTTATATTTATTTAATTTCACATTTTTGTCCAGTTGTTTTTCTATTTTCAAATTGCACTGCCTTTTATTTCTAATCAAAACAACACAAGCAAAATAGTTTATAGACCAAAACTGGGTGAACCGATACGTTAGAAACCAATATTAATCTGACAAAATTTCCAATATCGAGACCAGTATCGTATCATGTGTCCGTGTTTACATACAGAGGCTTTACAAAAATGGAAACGGAACCAAGATTTTTTTTTTATTTACATGATCTCCCAAAACGTCACATGATTTCAGTTATGAAAAAGCCACGGACAGTTCTTTTAAGTTCACGTTGGGAGTGTGGGGGAGTGAGCACAGGCTCTGGGAGGGAGGGGGTTAAACGAAGTATAAAAGTCCAAACAGAGTTCATGTGGGAGCATTTCCACCTGATCCCGAAGCACAGCTAAGGTAAGGACGCACTCACTATACAGCGCTTTAAAGATGCATTATGGAACTTTTTTTACGGAGCTGCTTTTGTCTGGAATATTCCACAGTATGGCATTAAGCGTATCAGTCTTGCATTTATTCAGTTACAGGCATTTTGACTGCTTAAAAGTGCACATATATGGATCATCTATCACCATCACCATCAAGATTAAGGAGTTTAAAGTCATATTTTGGAACATCTTTGCACAGACAAAGCAAAAATGTCTATATTTTAAGTTGATCTAAAACTACAACCAAATATTGTCTTTAATGCAACAAAATGGAAACAAATTAATAGTATTGACTTGATTTTAGACACTGGAAAAAAGCAATGTATTACAGTTAATTGAGTTGTAAAAAAAATTTTAAATTTAGAAAAAAATTTGTGTTCGCAAAGCTTAAATTTATTTAAATTTATTTTTATTTATTTTTGTTTTAAAAGAATAAAAATAATATCGAGATTGATCAATACGGAAAAAAAATTTTTCTTTTTTTTTTTTTTTTGCCGTATCGTTCAACCAGTGTTATTTACAACTTGAATTAAAAAAAAAAAACAACGTACACTCCTAATTTGGACTAGTTTGGACACACACTTTCATTTATGTTTTGTCTTTCTGATTATTTACACTATAGATTTTCACTGAAAGTATGGCACATGTGGAATGTAGTAAACAAAAAATAAACTCAAAATAACTCAGAACTGGATTTAGGACTCCCGATTTGAACTTTTCTCATGAGGCACAGCTGTGAAGTGAAAACTATTTCAGGAGACTTCACCAAGAAGCTCACTGAAAGAAGAAGAAGGAGGGTTTACAGAGCTGTTACAAAGCAAGCGGTGGATACTTTAAGGATCTGAATTCCACATATACATTAAAAATATTTAGTGGAGTTGTGTAACTTTCTTTTTGCAAACATATATCTTGCTTCATATATTTGATGTCGTCTGTGTGTATATAAAATGTAGAAAGTCAACATAAAGGAAAAGACACATTGAATGAGAGGGTGTGTCCAAACTTTTAACTGCTCATGTATCGTATAATAATATCATAGGGGTCCATTGGAGTGGGTTCAAAATAAGTCTTACTACCGTATTTTCCGCATCATAGGGCGCGCTCTAAAGCCTCCAACCCCTTAAAAAAAACGACTGCCCACAATCCAGAGCGCCCTGTACACGACTCCACTCAGGTGTCCCAGCACGACTTCAGTAAACTACAAAGCCGCACCACCCGCAGCGCACGCAAACACGCACGGAGCAGACAGCGACCGCACAGCGAAAAACACCCGCAGCCACACTCATCACTCCACCCCGACGAGGAACGGAACGGAGGAACGAACCGAAAAAGCGAGTGCAATGTGCCACTTCTAGACGCAACTGTACAACTGAGTCACTGCGAACACGCCGACAATCCGTTGGTCCCAGACAGCACCCTCCCTACACGCCACAACTGAACAAAGCCCAGAGTCACTGTGAACGCCACAAACAAAGTCCCACTGACCCATCTAACTGTTATGTTTCGTTTAAAGTGCGGTTTATTTGTGAAAAAAGTTCAAAAATAGACCGTTCTATGACAGTGCGCCTTATAATCCAGAGCACATAATAGTGTGGAAAATACGATACTTCTTACTCCATTTCGAGCATCAGTCTCCATTTATACGAGTCAATCTTACTGTAATAATGCTGATTGAATTCATCTCTGTACCGCTTTCAATTTATTCTCTTGTGACACACAGTAGCTCAAAATAAAAAAAAAAGATCTAGATAAAGTATTACAATGACAATACCTCTGAACATAAATGTCCTTGTTTTGGAGCAGAACTTCACGATGGGCCAGGTGACCTCCAGGTTGCGTCGCCCAGCCGGTGTCCCGCGGGTGCACTTCTCCACAGACGAGGGGCCGCCGCGTTACTCCTCCCACCACTTCGACGGGAGGAGCCCCAGACACGGAGACCCGCCCACCATCACCGTGTCTGAGATCGACGCGAGGTAAGTTACACAAACATGCCGCCATCTTGGAGCTCAGTTGCAAATGTAAACAACACATTTTTCTTTTTACGATATGGGAAAAAAACATCTAATTGCAAATTTTCTGACAAGCGAGAACTGACAAAAAGACAATGTCAACTGAATCTAATTTTAAAGAAGACGTTATGCTTATGTCTGTTATACAGTCATAATCTATAGCCCGCATGAGACATCTGGTAATTTGCAAATTACTGTCCCACCTCTGTGTTACTTGCAGCACATTCGTACGAGATAAGCAAAGTCTGTAAATGACTCTATTTTCGATTTATCTGTGTCAATGTCAGATTGACACAGAGACTGAAGCAGAAAAGGTGATACAAAAGGCAACACAACTACAACAACAAACACTGAGAAATTCACATGGAACTACAGTAGTATTATCACTGGACATCTGTGTTTGGCATAATATAGTAGGTCATTTGTGGTGGAATTTTTATTTTACAAATTACAGACATGGCACATTTGCACGGGATTAAGATCTCAGGCTTCCTCCGCAATTATTACAAATCACCAAAGGTCCACAATAAAACTTATCCACTGCAAAAAGGGCAGTGTTTCCCAATTTATTTTATTTTTTTTCTGGGGACCCATATTTTAAAAGTCACAAACCTTCGTGACACAAGTCAATAGACATTATACGTAACTCACAAAATAAAGTTGGGTTTGACCATTATTGAACACATATTTATGTTGTATTGAGTGATCAAGTTTTAAACAGTAAAACAGTAATTGAAACAGCAATAAAATAAGTCGCCTATTTGGACATTAAATATAAAACATTTCTTTTTCTTTTCAACATTCAATTGAGCCAGCAATAGTGGAACAAAATAGTCAATAAAAGGCATTACCTTGATCAAAATGTCCTTCATACATTCTACTGTTTATTAGTTCTCCCTTATTTCACACACTGTGTTGAAGTGTGGGGGAAAACTTACCATTGTACACTTCATCCACTGATTATATTACAGAAACGAGCTCTGCGAATTATCCATAAAGTTGTTTTTTTTTAGAACACACCCATAATCTTCTTATTAAGTCCAAGCTCCTAAAGATTCCTGATCTTGTCAAATATTATACACTGTTAATTTTATTCAGAGCATGCAACAATTTACTACCACGTAATACTCAAAGTTTGTTCAAAATGAGAGAGAGAACTTATCATTTAAGAGGGTATGGACATTTCAAATTGCCTAATGTACGAACTACCCGTAAATGTTTCTGTGTGTCTGTATGTGGTGTAAAACTCTGGAACAGTCTGGATACACGTCTTAAGCAACACATAAAATATCCATAAATTCAAGTTGTTATATAAACATAAAGTCTGGTCACAGTATATAGAGAGTGGGTCATAATATTAGAACAGTACTTCCTCCTGTAGCGCTGGTTTATGTTTGGTGTTTTCTTTGTTGTGCTGTCCTTTACATGACTTATATTTGTTGTTTCTTACCATTGTCTGTATCATTAACTTTACTATTGTTGGTATGATTATGTTACACTTCCAAACTATAACAATGACTCTTTGTCTGCACTTTTAAATAATTCATATAGTTTAATTCAAATGTCTGAAAAATGCAAAAGATAGCTCATTGTGTTAGATTATGAAGAGTGGGGGTGGGATTAAATAAGTTTTCTTCTTCCTACTCCTTTTTGCACAAAAACATTCTTTTTGTTGTGTTTATTTTCCTTTCTATTATGATTTCTCTTATGTTATATGTTCCGTTGTATAAGAATGTAAATCTTTATTTGCCCAAAATAAATACATAAAGAAAGAAGAATAAAATAATTACAAAAAGATTAGAAAAAATATAAAACAAGTCTTAACATTTCAATATTTCTAATGAGATAGGTGAGCCTGTCTGTATGTTATGTTATTAGGTTCTTTTTTCAGACCTAGAGTTTTGTTTCATACCTGACAGTTTGGACTGCTGACAGCTGACCAGACAAGTCACAGCAACATCACATGACCACTCTGAGGAAGACGCTAGTGAGCAGTCCAAACTGTCAGGTGTGAAACAAAACTCTGGGTCTGAAAAAAGAACCTAGTAACATAAAATATCGGAAGATCAAATGAATCTCATTGGACTATTGAGTCTGTGTTTTTGTAGCGTGCTCCAGTTCAAATGCAGGAGGACAGCACAACACACATCAGTGCCAGAAGTGTATATCACAGATCCACATGCAGATCATGACAAGGAGACCTCAAAAAAATCTCTTGTGACCCACCTAAGGGTCATGACCCAGTTTTGGGAAACAATGATATAGGGCATATGACACCCGTGGATCATTATGTTGTAATTTGCACATTTTAAATCAAAATATTGACAAAATGATATAATAAAAGAAACAAGTCCACTTATTCCTATGTTAGAAAATTGTGGTGCCCAGTGGGAGATGACGTAGCCGTAAATGTCATCACAACAAAGAGCCGGAACCTCCTAGGGATAGATGCACATCATGCTGCGATTTCCGATTTTTTTTACATTTGTACCAAAATCACTACACTGTAAATCCTACGTGTGTCACTGATTTTAAAAATGTAACTGGAGAATGAAGTAAGTACGTCACAGTAGGAATGTGCTGGTGGAAGTAAAAACAAGAGTTGGTCTGCAAAAGTATTGAAAATAAGGTATTAAAGATTGCACAAACAGTCATAAATCACTCCAGATGAAATTTTGTGTGAGTAAATGTGAGAGAAAACAACTAGAACGTGGTTAAAAGCTTTGAAAAGTCAATTTTGCAGGATAGATCAAAAAGACGTGCTTCTCTATAAAAAAACTTCCCCTCGACAGAACCTTTGAAGCAGATGTGAATGATGACGTGACTTCGGAGGTGGATCAAACAAAAGTATCACAAACACATCAGCAATATTTGTAAGATATTTGTCAAATCTGATCTGATGTGTTTCCATTGTATTATAGCAGGGCCTTACCACACCTCACTGCTGTATTGTAAGTGCAATGACTCTCTTATATCTCTCGTTGCATCAGAGCATGACCACAAACCACAAACGACAGTTCCTACACAGAGGCCAGTTATTCTTCTGTGTAAACAGGATATTAAAACCCAAGACAGGAAACAAATGAGATGGTATCATAGTTAAATTACTGAAAAATGCAAACCTTTCTCTTTTGAATGCATTGCAAATTTTAGCATTCTGAATAAAGAGACAAAAATATAAATATAAATGGTGATAATAAATTCAAAATAAGCAAAAACGACTGTAGTAAATAGACCTCACAGTAGAGCTTCTATCAGTGCAGGGGACTGTGGAGTGCAAAGTTTAAAGGTCCGTATTATGCTGTTTTATGATTTCTATTCTAATGTTGTCAGTGTTGGGGAGTAACAGATTACATGTACAGGAGTTACGTAATCAGAGTACAAATTATGAGTAACTGTATTCAGTTACAGTTACTGTTTTAATGAGTGGTAATTGGATTACAGTTACTTTGTTGGATTACACGGCAGTATTGTTTTCACATTTCGGGCTATATCCTGTTTTTTTTTTTTTTGTTTTTTTTTTTTGGTTTGTTTTGTTTTTTCCAGTAATTCCACTCATTGCTGGATATTAAACCAGGTCCAAACCAGATCTAAAACCAGATCTAAAACCAGGACTAAAACCAGGTCTAAACCAGGTCTAAACTAGGTCTAAACCAGGTCTAAAACCAGGTCTAAACTAGGTCTAAACCAGGTCCAAACCAGATCTAAACCAGGTCTAAACCAGGTCTAAACCAGGTCCAAACCAGGTCTAAAACCAGGTCTAAACTAGGTCTAATCCAGGTCCAAACCAGGTCCAAACCAGGTCCAAACCAGGTCTAAACTAGGTCTTAACCAGGTCTAAAACCAGGTCTAAACTAGGTCTAAACCAGGTCCAAACCAGATCTAAACCAGGTCTAAACCAGGTCTAAACCAGGTCCAAACCAGGTCTAAAACCAGGTCTAAACTAGGTCTAATCCAGGTCCAAACCAGGTCCAAACCAGGTCCAAACCAGGTCTAAACCAGGTCTAAACCAGGTCTAAAACCAGGTCTAAAACCAGGTCTAAACTAGGTCTAAACCAAGACTAAACCAGGACTAAACCAGGACTAAAACCAGGGCTAAACCAGGTCTAAACCAGGTCTAAACCAGGTCCAAACCAGATCTAAACCAGGTCTAAACCAGGTCCAAACCAGGTCTAAAACCAGGTCTAAACTAGGTCTAATCCAGGTCCAAACCAGGTCTAAAACCAGTTCTAAACTAGGTCTAAAACCAGGTCTAAAACCAGGTCTAAACTAGGTCTAAAACCAGGTCTAAAACCAGGTCTAAACTAGGTCTAAAACCAGGTCTAAACTAGGTCTAAACCAAGACTAAACCAGGACTAAACCAGGACTAAAACCAGGGCTAAACCAGGTCTAATCCAGGTCCAAATCAGGTCCAAACCAGGTCTAAACCAGGTCAAAACCAGGTCTAAACCAGGTCTAAACCAAGACTAAACCAGGACTAAAACCAGGGCTAAACCACATCTAATCCAGGTCCAAATCCAGGTCCAAACCAGGTCCAAACCAGGTCTAAACCAGGTCTAAACCAGGTCTAAACCAGGTCCAAACCAGGTCTAAACCAGGTCCAAACCAGGTCTAAATCAGGACTAAACCAGGACTAAACCAGAACTAAACCGGGACTGAACCAGGACTAAACCAGGTCTAAAACCAGGATTTAACAGGACTAAATCATGCTGCATGGACCGTGTCTCCTCCTCTTCTATCAATAATATTTTTAATACAGTTAAGTAAAGACTGGACTTTTCATTGTCTTTAAGCAGACAAAACATGTTACGTTAAGATATCGTAGTCTTTGCTTCTCTACAGCAAATCAAGTAATCCAAAGTATTCAGATTACGTTACTCACTTTAAGTAATTTAATGGATTACATTACAAACTACATTTTGGGGTATGTAATCTGTAATCTGTAGGGGAATATATTTTAAAAGTAACCTTCCCAACACTTAATGTTTTTCCTCATCACAAACATGTCTAGAGTTCTATTTTGTTTCATTCACACATACTCACAAATGAAACCGAAAACACACCCCAAAGTTCTTGTAGAGGTGCAGATGCAAGGAGCAAAAAGTGAAAAAAATAAAAAATAAAAATCTGAATTTGCGATACATTTTTTTTAACAAGACAAACAAAACACAAACTCTGCTTATTTCGGCTATATCCTGACACCAAATGACATCACAAGGTGGAACAGAATGTTTTCTGTTTGAGTGAAGAATTCAGCCTAAATATGCAGGATTTGTGTGTGTTTGAATCAAAAAATAGAGTAATATAGGCCCTTTAAAGTTGCATAGTGTAACTTTTCTGGTGGAGGGTCTGTCAAATGCTTTTCTTCGTGAAGATGTTGTTGCTTTGTCTGGAATGTTCCACAGTATGGTATTAAACCTTTCTATCTTCAGGGAGAACAAACCAGGCCAAGTTACAGGTCAGATCTGCGGAAAGGCGACCCCGCTCATAGTCACAATGCCCCTCTTGCCTTTCTCTGTGGAACATTCCAGACAGAGCAATGACATATCCATAGAAACAAGCAGGTGACAGAAAACCAGTGCATCTTTAAAATACCTATGACCTAAGATCATTATTTTTAAGATTTTGCATAAAAAATATACAATTCTTTTTCCGAATTTAGTCTTTTTTTTTTTTTTTAGGTTTAAATTTTACATCGTGGTTATAAAACATGAAATCGCACTAGGGAATTTGATAACTGTTACCTAGCAACCATCTAGTACTCTGGACAAAAACTCTTCAAACATACACAAAAATTATAATTTGACAAATAAAAATGTCAGAAAACACCATAGTTTTGTTGAAATAATGTTTCAACTATTAGAAAAAAATGGGTTTCTTGTGTGTTAAATTATGCCAAACCTTTGGATAGAATTCTTGCTCAATACAAGGAAACATTGTTTTTGTTTACATCTGTTTTTTCCGCACGTGCACAGTGGGGCTGCTCGTTTGTGTTGACAGTTGCATTGCGTATGTCTGTCATGAGATAACTCCTCTTATTTTGAAATAAGTTTTGCATTCAATTGTTTCAACATGAGTTCATCATCTTACTCTAGTCACTGAATGTTGAGGATCAAAAATGTTACTTTGAAAAGTTCAAATCTGCCAATAACTGTTGACGATGTTGTTGTTGTACTGTTGATGTTGACTTGTTGATACGGACGCTTTTTGCTTACCAAAATGGACGTGACATCATTGTGTTTTCTCATACTTGGGGCAATCTAAAATAAAACTCTCCACATATTTTTCAACTTTTCTTCAAAAACTGCTTCTTGATTTGTGTAAAACTATCATTTTACAATATTATCCCACCAAATGAAGTCAAAATTTACATTTTGACTTCATCAAAACCTGTCATACGCACTTCAGATGACTGACTCTTGTTGTTGTTTTGCAGTAGTCTGTCTGAGAGGAGAGGCTCGAGGATGGAGTTGAGGAGAGCTTCGTTCTACAGCACCATGGACCTGGCTCCTCAGCTGGAGCACTACGCCAGCTCCCTGCCCCGACAGCAGACACGCAGCCGGCCCAGTCTGGAGGCCCTGCGCAAGGCCTATGAGGTAATACACCAGCAGGGTTCAGCAAAGGTCCTATACTACCCCAAACGGACTATTGTGACATTTAAAGGGACAGTCCGGAATTTTGGACATAGGACCTCATTTCCTAGTGAGCCAGAGTGTTGGAAATGTGTGAAGACACTTTTTTAAATATTTGATCCAGTCCTTGTATTTGTAGAGGTCATTGGTGCTAGGCTAGTGCATGTCAATGGCCATAGTTAGCCTGCCACTAAAAACAGTCTTACCCACTCCACAAAAACCCAAAGTAAATCTATTATTACACCAGACTGTCCATGTAAATGTCTGCGTTGCATTTGAAGGATTTATGTCTGAGCAGCAGCAGTGAGTTGTACTTCCACAGCGGCGGACTGATATATGAAAAAATAGTCCCTCAACATGCGACGATTCATGAGATGCAAGGATAGTTTTATTTCAAACATTATTCTATCGATGCAGACATTTACATCGACAGTCTGGCGTAATAATAGATTTGCTTCGAGTGTTTTGTGGAGTGGGTAAGACTGTTTTTAGTGGCAGGCTAACTATGGCCATTGACATGCACTAGCCTAGCCCCACTGACCTCTGCAAATACAAGGACTGGATGAAACACTTCAAAAAGCATCTCCACAAGTCTCCAACACTCTGGCTCTGGGTTTGTTGTCTGTCATCTGCTTGTTTCTATGGATATGTCAGTGCTCTGCCTGGAATGTTCCACAGTATGACATTAGACAGTTGTACTTTACATCTAATCTAACAATTAGGTGGTTTTATAGCTCAAAACATCTATTTTGATGGATTCCACCAGAAAAGTTACACAATGCACTTTAAAGCCATGTTATAATGTTACTACTTCCTAAAAAAACATACCTGGAGCATTTTGTTTCATTCACACATGTTTGAGTAACTCTTTTTTATTAATCTGTTTACATCTCCAAAGCTCCAAATGCTCGGTTCCACCTTGTGATGTCATGAAGTGTTTTTCATGTCCTTTTAACTTTAGTTCAGTAGAAATTGGCGTTTCCAGAGCTGAAATTATCCAAATGATTCTAGTGAAAGTGTGTGAAAATTAAAAACACAGTAGAGCACTTCCTGTATTAACAAATGACATCACAACACAACTCCAGGTATGTTTTTGAGGAGGTAATAAGCGATTTACAAATAACAAAACTAGGAAAAAGGCGATCTACTTATGGCATAGTTTCAAAATAAATAACCAAAAAGCTGATTATTGTGTGTATTTCAGGATGGAGAGCTGGGCATAGAGGCTGCAGGGGCCCAGGCGGACGTGGACAGTTTACCCCCTCCTCCAGACGAAGAGGCAGCTGACGGCAGCAAAGAGAACGCCCCAGTGAGATTTGGGTGGATCATTGGAGTCATGGTGAGCAGATATATTTCACTGTTGTGAGTTTGCAGTAACATCTCGCTACATGTATTTATCTAGCAGGATGTTTAGCAGTTTCTACGGAGACACAGTGCACACATCAGCAAACTCCAACAAAAAGTCTTAAGATCATCTGAAAACTCAAGACAAAATACAAAAAGTAGATTTAAACAGCGCATTTTCAGGAGACAGTGATCAATACGAGAGGTCATAGTGCAGTTTAGGAGTTTGATTTTCTATTAGTGACTAGACCCAAGAACTCACTGTATTACAACACAAATCTGCATTTTATAAATATTAATTTTAAATATGAATATATGATGCAAGATAATTGGAATTTCAATCCAATTCCTAAAGTTTATTGTCAAATTTCCATATGAAAAATTGAAATTATGTTCTCACTCTCAATCGACTAAATTAAATAATAATAAAATAAAAGGAAAAGTCTAAAGTTCTTCTTTAGGGAGACACAGATTCCTAGCCTCCTGGCAGCCTGGTGGTTAGAGAGGGGAGAGTGTTCAGCATCCTAACAGCCTGGTGGTGATTATATGAATGAGTCTTGTGGTGCGGGAACAGAGGCAGGAGGCTGAACAGATTGTGCAGGTGGTGGCTGTGTTCACTATGTGCTGCAGGGCTCTGTGGAACTGGAAAGGATGCTCTCAATGGTTCCTCTGTAGAATGTGGTCATGATGGTGGTGAAGCACTTGCCTGCTTGAGTTTCCGCAGGAAGTAGAGGCACTGCTGGGCTTTTTTCACAACTGAATTATAGCAAAATAAAAAAAAGTTGAAATAACTAACAGAATATTATTGTATATTTTATATTCAAATCTTCAAAGTAGCCGCCCTTTGCTTTGTGGACAGTGCTGCAAACTTTTCTCTTAATGATCTTCAGGATGAATTCTCCAAAAATGGATTTCATTTAACAGCTGTGCCTCAAGGTCAAGAAATGCCTCAAGAGCAAAGCAGGGATCAAAGCAAAGGGTGGCTTTTTAAATATATATAGGCCTATCTTTTATCTAAAACAAGTCTTGGTGTATTTTGAGTTTATTTTTTGTCCGCTACATTCCATATATGTCCATTCATTGTGACAATCTACAATGTAAATGGTCATGAAAATAAAGAAAAAACATGAGAACGTGTGTCCAAACCTCTGACTGCTCGTGTCTCTTGGCTCAGGTCCGGTGCATGCTGAACATTTGGGGAGTGATCCTGTTTCTCCGCTTGTCTTGGATCACCTCTCAGGCAGGAATCGGTGAGGACCACACATTTAGGCTTTCATATTCTCATGAATGGACCCCGTTGTAATGCAGTTTACAGTCAAACCATGCCTCAAGTTGTATGAAGTTTAATTTACCGATACCTTCAGTCAGTGTGTGCGATTAAATCAGGAGCTTCACTTACAGACAGAGCGGCTGCAGTGGGGACGCATCACTTCCATCCATAAAACAATATAAAAGGACACGTTCATTAACACATATCCATAGTACAGGACATCTAGTGGTAAAACATAAAGCTCCTCCTTCATTTACTCCATAGTGTTCCATCTGCATAATTATAGAGAGTGTGATTTGACTGTGCCCGTGACCTTTCTGTGACTTATTCTGCAGTAAAGTCGTGTTCAGCATTTGTTAGACATAGTTCCTTGTTTTTCTAGTGTTGGTGTGGGTGATCATCCTGATGTCTTCTGCTGTAACCACGGTAACGGCGCTGTCTGTCTCTGCTATCGCCACCAACGGGCGGGTCATCTCCGGTGAGTTTTTTTAGATCATTTTAGATACATTTGGGCTAACGGTCAAAAAGTGTGTATTCTGACTGATGTGCTGAATGTGCATCGCTCTAAACCCGTCCGAAATGATAATGTTGCTCTTTCTTTAATTGAAAATAAATTGACTTAAAAAATTTTACGTTATATTACTGCTCTTAAAGATCCTATATTATGCCTAATCCTGTGAACTTTAAGCCATGTTAGAATGTTGTTACCTGAAGTTGTATTTTGTTTCATTCACACGTGAAAATTTGTTGAAAATCAAACTCGTAAACAGAACCATGAACGCTTGTATTGGTCACAGGTCCCAGAAAATGTGTTGTTTAAAGATACACAGTGTAACTTTCAGGTTGGGGGTCCACTACCATGGAGATGCTATTGCCTGTAATGTTCCACAATATGATATTAAACATGTAACGTGTTTTTCGGACTATAAGCCGCGCTTAAAATCCTTTAATTTTCTCAGAAATCAACAGTGTGCCTTATAATCCGGTTATGTTTACTGACCTCAAACCGATTTTATGTGGTACAGGGCGCTCAAAAATCTGACAAAATGTTTTAGTACGACCTTGGTGAGCTACAAAGCCGCACTGCTGGCTGGTTTGTCGGAGCATTACGGTTACTGTAGTCAGGAGCCTCAAGGAGTAAATTAGTGTGACAAAAGCTGACTGCATCAGGGCACAAGGAGTGAGCTGTTTTCTCAGTGCTTAGAGTTTATGCAAATTAGCCATGTGGTTTTAAGTTTCTGTAAAATGTAAACAAATCTGTGCAAAGCTGCGTCAAACGCATTATTACTCAATGTATATTTGAGTCCTCCTATTAGGAAATAAAAACCCAAACTTTTACATTATATATATATATATATATATTATGTATGAAAATAGACGAAAGAATTCAAAATTATTGATATTGCGCCTTATAGTCCGAAAAATACAGTATTACATGCATTTATTCAATTATGGGTGTTTTTATTGTTCAAATACCTTTAAAACATGCATTCTTACTGTGAGTGGGGTTGCCTTGATCTCAGCTTTAAATTGGCCAGGTGCCGTGTTCTGCTTGTTTCTGTGGAGATTGAAAAGTTTAATGACCTGGCGAACCGAACTGGCGGGCCCTCTACCAGAAAAGTTACACAGTTCACTTTAAATCCGTTTTGTTATCTTAAAACTTTTTTGTCAGTGTTTGCTAAAGAGTGCATTGTGTCACCATAGTAGCTACTGACAATCCACTATAGAACATACATGTAGAACACCCCCAGTGTGATGCTACTACAAAGTATCAAGTCTGATGATTATGATTCATATTTTTGTTTTGTTTTAGGCGGGGCGTACTTCATGATCTCGCGCTCCTTGGGCCCTGAGATCGGAGGACCCATCGGGATGGTCTTCTCCTTTGCCAACGCTTTGGCCTGTGCCCTCAACACTGTGGGGTTTGCAGAGGTAGTCCGAGATCTGCTCAAGGTAACACCACCCTACTGTATTGTACTACTACTGTCACAGAAGGATCTGCAGTTACCATGCCAACATAATGCACACATTAGTAAACACTGTCAAAAAACTTTTAAGATTGTCTGAAAACTCAAGAAAGGATTCCAAATGGATTTAAAGAACACATTTTCACGATCCTGTGATCAGTGTGAGTGCTCATGGTCCGTCCTGTTCAGAAGACATAAGGAACAGTGTGATTGATATTTAGTTTCACTTTAAAGGCCATGTAATACACAAAATTGACTCTTGTCAGCTTTAAGCCACATTATAATCTTGTAACCTTCTCAAGAACAGACCTGCAATTGTGTTTTGTTTCATTCACACATGTTTCAGTAATCCCTAGTCTGTCTACATCTCCAAACCTTGAGATGGTCTGTCCCACCTTGTGTCATGAAGCTGTAGTTTTCAAGTTAACAGCTCCCTTTACCTTTAGTCCTTTCTTCTTCTTCTTCTTTTTCTTCTTCTTCTTCTTCTTCTTCTTTTTATTGAGTAACAATAATAAAGCATAAGAAAATAACATAAGATTAGGCACAGGGCTGGGTATCATTCAGAAGTTGCCAATACGATACATACCTCGATACACAAGCCACGATACGATACATCTCAATACAGTGAGCTTTCGATTCGATTCGATTCAATACAATTTATTTCAAATCGATTCGATAACGGTTCAATAAAAAATAAAGGCTAAGTCATGGCTGTGATACTAAAAGTCTTTATTAAACCACTTCCTGTGCAAAGTTAATGCAAACACACCCATTTTAATCATCAAACTGTGAAATGTGAAATGTGTCAAATGTGTTGCATAAATGAGTTTCCTTCCTCTTAACAAGCAACAAAACTGTAGCTCTGTCAAAATCAGCAGTCTATGATAATAATACTGTATTATCACATTAAATGACACGATATATCGATATTTCAATATTTTTGCACACCTCTAATTAGGCAATTCCATCATTCCATTAAAAAAGGCTAAAACAACCAACAAAACAGAAACGTTTCCTCCTCATTGCATTCTGTATTTCTGGGCTATCTAAAGTTTTGGTTGATTTTTTTGTTTGATATGTTTTCTAGAATGCTAAAGTATCTGTTTATTTCAATTGCATGTCCAGTATCACCACATGACATCACAAGGTGGAACAGAGTATTTTCCATTTAGGAGAAGAGCTCAGCCTAAATATGCAGGATTTGTGTGTTAAACATGTGTGAATGAAACAAAACACAACTGCAGGTCTGTTTGTGATGAGGAAAGTACATTATAACAGAGTAATTTAGGCCCTTTAAAAGCCCTTGATGACTTTGTGTTTTTGTGTTTGTGCAGGACTTTGACGCACAGATGGTGGACGATGTGAATGACGTGCGCATCATTGGAGTCATCACAGTGACGGTTCTTCTGCTCATCTCTCTGGCAGGAATGGAGTGGGAGTCTAAGGCAAGTCCCCCATGTTCACTTTCAAATACTCAACTACCACTGAAAGGTTTGGACACACCTTTATATTTATTTTTCTTCCTTATAACTCAAATTATTTACACTGTAGACTCTCAGTTAAGGCATCAAAACTATGAATGACACATATGGATCGTCGTAAACAAAATAAATAAACTCATAATAACCCTTTGCTTTGAAACCTGTGCACTTCTGTAATTTCTTAACCCTGACATGGCACAGCTGTGAAGTCAAAACCATTTCAGGAGACTTCATTAAAAAAGTTAATTTCGAAAAGGCGAAGGATTTGCAGCTCTGGATACTGTGATGATTTGAATTTAAAATATAAAAAATATTTAGTTGGGCTATTACTTTTTTTCTTTACTACTTAAAATATCTTGCTTCATATATTTGACGTTTTCGGTGTGTATGTAAAATTAAAAAGTAGTAAGCATAAAGAAGAAAAAACGTTGAATGAGAGGGTGTGTCCAAATGTTTGACTACACTGCAAAAAGTAATATCTAGGTAAATTTAAATTACTCAAATTAAGAATATTTATCTCAATTTGAGTAGACTTAAGTTAAATGAGCTGCCAATGGGATAAGTATTTCTGTCTTGATTCAAATGACATAAGATTTACTTCCTTATTTTAAGTGCAAAGAGTTGTTGTTTGTCTCATCTTTAATGTAACAAGATTTGTTTTTGTGGTTTAAGTACAAAAAGGCATCGTTAACACTTGATTTAATCCATTATAACCTGGAAAGATTTTGCTTTTTGCAGAGTGGTAGTACACATATAACCCTTAAAGTGTGTATGGGTTTGATGATTCTTAAATTTTTACTTACTATAATTTGGTGGGATAATACTGGCCTGATTCATCAGCCGGTTTTACTTTTTTCATTTAACCAATCGCTTCTATTTGGTCGTGACGTATGTAATGCGCCAAATCCTGTAGGAAGAAGGGCAATAACATCTTTCCCCTTGATAAACTTCACCAAACATTCTCCTGTTCCAACTTTAAATCCTCGGGAATCGTTGCCAACACAGAATTTGTCTACATCCATCTAGACCACTTTGTTTACTGTTGTGCTGTTCCACAAAAACGACCCAGACAGGAGCTTGAGTTTGACGTCATGGCTTCACAGCTTTTCACTGATTGATCGGTGCGCAGTCTACAACTTCTGGGGTTCTTGTAAACCGTCTAGTGTATTCTGATTCCTGACCTAGTCGCTGGAGAGAAATGAAATTGAGCAGAGGCACTAGGTGGTGCCAGCCGGGCTAGGATAATACCTGTGTTGTGAAGAATTTGTGAGGAAATGTTGAAAAGTATATTTAAAATTACAAGAAATATAGAGTTCTATTTTAGACATCACGGTAGGAAGAATTCTGTCCAAAAGATCAGAATAATTTACTCACAAGAAACATTTTTTTTTTCTGATACCTTAAAAATGATGCTGTTTTCTTACATTTTTATTTGTCAAATCATAATTTCTGTGTACGCTAGAGAGTGATTTGGCCCAAAGTACAAGATGGTGGTCAGGTTATGGAATTCCTTAGCATGATGTCATGATTTACAACCAAGAAGTCAAATTTAAAAATAAAAAATGGCCAAATTCAGAAAAAGAAATTTATTTTTATTTTTGTAAAATCTTAAATATAATGAAGTAAAATGAATAGTCCAACCTGTTCTCTTTCTCTTTTTTATCACAGGCCCAGATTTTGTTCTTCATTGTTTTGTTAGTGTCTTTTGCAAACTACTTCGTGGGCACATTCATCCCTGCGCCCAAAGAGAAACAAGCTGTGGGAATCTTCAGTTATCAAGGTTTGTAATTAACATGTACTTATGTTAGGGATGCACCATTCTGATACTGGTATCGGATATTGGCGCCGATACTGAAAAATTGCAGAGTTTGAGTTCAGCCGATATTCTGATTGAACATATAATTTGATGTAATGTAATATACAAAGTTGTTCTGTAGTTACTTGAGAGATAAATCAGTTTTGTTTGATTTTAGTTTAGTTTAAAGGAAATAAATGCTGTTTTCAGTCTCTGCACTGGTATTGGTTAAAATCGGCAGAAGCCATAGTGTTCGAATCGGTATTGGAACTGTAAAAGCTGGATAGGTGCATCCATCACTAACACAGAGTTCTTTTCTTTTTATTACAGCGGACATCTTTGTGACAAACCTAATGCCAGATTGGAGAGGACCAGACGGCAACTTCTTCCAAATGTTTGCCATTTTTTTCCCATCAGCCACTGGGATTCTGTCTGGAGTCAACATCTGTGGAGATCTTAAGGTAAAACTTATCTAGGTCCAGAAACCCCTATTCTAGTATTGACACTTTATTTAAAGGTGTAACTTTTTGGTTGGGAGTCCATCACCTGCTTGGTGCTGGCAAAAAATGTATGTCTGTAGGAGGAGCTCTGTCGCTGAAAGTTACTTAGTTTTGCTTTAATCTTAGGCTGTATTTAGACCAGAAAAGTGCTAAAGTCCGCTTATTTGAGAAGTATGTTTGTTTTTTTTTTAAATTCATATAGCACCAGCTATAGCTGCCAATCTGCGCCATGGGTCCCTCTGACCACCACTGACACTCACGCACACTCCACTTTCATACTAGGCAATGTGGGTGAAGTGCCTTGCCTAACGACACAAGGACAGTTTTTTTTTTGTTTTTTTTTTTGTGACTGGTGCCCCACTGTTGCACCTGATTTTCCCAGTGGTCTCCCATCCCCGTACTAACCAGGCCCGGCCCTGTTTAGCTGCTGAGATATGACGGGATCAGGCTTTAACAAGCTGGTATGGCTTGTCAGCAGCATCACACCCAGTGCATCTCTGTGTCCTTACTGTGGCTCATCAAGCCCCAAAAGGTGCATGTTTTCTGTGTTTGTTTCAGATCAAGGCCATTTGTATTCAAACCGTAACACCAGAGTCCCTTTGATAGTGGACTGAGACCCACGTCTTCAGACGGGTCTCAGTCTGCTTGTTTGGTCCACATCAGAGTTCACTTGTCTTTTTTCATACCTGAAATAAAGTTCAGATTTCCAGGGGAACCGAACTCTTGTTCATTTTAATCAGACTAATACAGACCCTTAGGAATGAATACAGCCTTAATAAAGTAAGGTTTGACTATTGGTGCAATAGATATGGTTTTTTCAGGATATTTTAGAAACATATTGTTGTATTTATGTAAATTATATATAATGTTTATTTAAAGAACTCATACTACGGCATTTTCTGATATGTTTTCCTTTCATGTGTAGGATCCTATGTCTGCTATTCCCAAAGGCACTCTGATGGCCATCTTCTGGACTACGTTGAGCTATCTGGCCATTGCACTGACTTCAGGTAAGAAACAATTACTTCAGCCATATTTACATAAATTATTGATATTATTATCAATTATTATATCAAATATGTTGGGGCAAACATGTATAGGTTTAAAAAAAAAAAAAAAAACTTTTAATGAACATCTGAGAATCCATTTTATTGGACCCAATTTTATTTTTAAGACAATTGTTTTATGATCAATGAACAATATGCAAAATAATAACTTATGTAGTATATTACAGTACATTACAATGTACCAGACAAAAAGTATATTATATCATACAGAATGTCTCACAGTATGGCATTAACTGTATCTATTTCCATGGAGACAAGCCCACAATACCACCAGACCAAGTTACAGGTCAGATCTGTGGAGATGTAAACTCACTCACTGTAGGAATCCATATTTTTCAATGTATTTTGAGCACTAAAACACTTGGCAGACCCTCTCCCAGGAAGGTTACATAGTGCAGTTTAAAAAAAATAACGCTAAGGGGAAGGTGGAAAGCTCCAGAAAGCCACAAGTGCTTTTGCCAGAGGCTGAGTGGGATAATCACAGGTTGTACATTAAAACCCAAAGACATGTGTTATAAGAGCGCCTCATTGAATAAAACAGGACTAAAGGAGGGGCCACGAGGCTGTACTCGTAACACAGGGTTGAACAGTCTCCCAAAAATATTACTTAAAGAGCCCATATTAAACGACTTTCTGATCTATGTTTCTAACAATGTTGTTTTCTCATCACAAACAGACCTGGACTTGTGTTTTGTTTCATTCACACATGTTGAACACACAAACCCTGCAGATTTATCTTTGGAGATGTAGACAGACTAATAAAGTGTTACTCAAACATGTGTGAATGAAACAAAACACAATTTTGGGTATGTTTTTGAGGAGGTAACAACATTATATATATAGAGAGAGAGAGTCAATTTTGCATAATATAACACCTTTAAACCAAAGTTGTTTTTCATCTCTTGCAGCTGCCACCACAGTGCGCGATGCCTCTGGGAACTTGACTGATTTCATGACTGGAAACAGCACAGAGGGGTGTGTGGGTCTGGCCTGTAAATACGGCTGGAACTTCACTGAGTGCATAGTGTCCCAGACCTGTGAATACGGACTGGCCAACAGCGTCAAGGTACAGTACACGTTAGGGGAGGAAGTCAAAATCGATGCAGTAATATATTGCGATACTTCACTGAGCGATTCTTGTGTACATTCAACATGTGTCTGAATAGATTTTTAAAAAGTCATTCATTTTCTATGCTCACGATTCTTTCATCCAATTTTGTTCTTCTAAGGTGTACTCGACCATAATATTATACATAATTACAGATGAATCACAATATATTGTCCTTCAATAAATGAATTTCGGACTTCCAGTCATTGCACAATGCATACTGGGAAGGATTTTCTGAAAAAGTGAGCATCAAACCACCATGTTGCTTTTCTCAGTGGGATGTGTCTATTGACAAAGCCATATCACTTTTGTTTCTGGTTCTGATATTGTCATATTTTAGTTTTGGGATTCAGACATCGTAATTGTGTGGTTGTTGGATGTTCTAACACCGGAAAACGTCTCAAGAAATTTGTTTGCGAACTCCATAAATGCAAAAGGGAATCAGATGTGTGTGACTGCAAACCTCTGTTCAAACTGTTTCCCTTCTCAACAGAATTGTAAAATAGTGAAAGGTGAAGGCGATGAGCAGTATTGATACTCAGGAAGGACCAAAAAGGAAACCTTTGACTGCCTAAATCATCCTGAGTTTGCAGCGAACATTTTGTATGTGGAGCACCATCAAAGTCATCAAAATCTCAATCCCTCGCTCCACCTTGGTTAGGAATTTAAAAAGTCAACGCCAAAGCGAAAGGCACCAACTGTTCACCAAGAAACACCTTCCACTGTAGAGTGACCAAGACGTGATGTTGCTGTAAAACCACAAGAACAAGAAAGTACAAGCTCAGTCTGTTTGTCTTCTGCACCTCTCACTTAACAAACGGGATCCCGCTTTGATGACGCTCCACATACACAATGTTCTCCCAGTCCTTCCCAGTATGCATTGCGCAATGACCGGAAGTCTGAGATTCTTGATGCATCTATTAGTTAACTAGTAAGTTAATATAAACCACACATTTTAATCATCAAAATAGTAAAAAACAAAACTGTAGCTGTAACAAAATAATTTAGTAAGATATACCAAAAAATACTCTTGGTGATATATCGATACAGCAGCCCTTGATATCGATACTATATCATCACATTAAATGATACAATATATCGATACTTCAATATTTCTGCACACCCCTACAACTCACCCATATCCCTTTTTTTTTTTTTACCACAAACCTGTAAGAGATCTGAGTAGTAGCAGTTATCTTTTCGCACTAAAGCGTTAAAATAAAGCTTTGTGTGTGCGTTGTAGGCAGCAAACCTACCAAATCAAAAGATCTGCCTGTACTGGACATTTATGGAAGATAACCGATATGTTAAAAAGTCCAAATATCGTCTTTAGATGGGTCACAAGATATGTTTGAACTGTGTATTTGTGTTTTTCATTATAGTTACTGGGGCAGCTTTCCGGATTCTATTACCTGATCACCGCTGGAGTCTTTGCCGCCAGTCTCTCCTCTGCTCTCGGCTTTCTGGTCTCTGCTCCCAAAGTGTTTCAGGTATGAACATGTACTTATCATTAGTTCACACAAATATAACTGTAGACATGTAAAAATAATGAGTTTATGTTGTTTTAACAGTGTCTCTGCAAGGACAACATTTACCCGTACATTGGATTTTTTGCTAAAGGATACGGCAAAAACAACGAGCCCCTTAGAGCCTATTTACTCTGTTTCATCATTTCTATTGCATTCATTTTAATCGGTAAGTACGTAATCTTCAAGTACTCATCCATGTTATTGACACCTTACCTATTTACCGGTAAATATTGTAAACATACCAAGGTGTTGCCTGTAAACACGAACATTAATTGATGCTGGAAGCTGCATTAAACATGTGTAACATTTCATCGGCTGTGATGTCTGTAACCAGGACAGTTTGATAGTGTTTGGTGTAAACTGGGACATTTCAGCGTCCCGAGGAACTATTGGTGGCATTTCATGTGAGAAATGCAGCTGAGATGAAGGTTAAGACTGACTGATGCTCGCTGTGGCTGTAGCCGTGAATGTTTTAATCTAAACATGCAGAGAACCTGATATTTGCTAATTAGCCCTGGGATAACTTTACGTCTGATGTTGCCAACTGGCTCCACTATGTTATCTAACATATCGGTGCAATTTCCCGTTCAGAGGAGGTGTTTCTACACAATATGACACAGCAGCGTTCAGTTCCCGAATTCAATGTGGCAAGACAAGACATTTTTACAATAAATTTTAATTATCCCACTTGTTGGTCGCTGTTGTAGGTCCTTGTTGTGCTGTTACTCTGTTTTTACCCTCCGCTACAAAGTTAAACATGCACAGTCTTGATCTTGATCGATGTTTCTTCTGCTCGATAAATAATGTCTGTGAAGTGATGATGTATTTTTGACAGTAAAGTCCTGTCTGTGAATTCGCATTCGTACTGATGAAAGCGTAATCATAAATTTTCATTTCGTGATTGTAATTCTTGACGTCGTAAATTTTCATTTCGTATTGTGATGGATAAAATACACACAATCTATTTTATGTACGACTGGACTCATTTGAGAGTTTACAAATATTTATTTTATGCCCAACTACAGCCAAATATGCATGAATTTCCCAAATATGCACGGATTTCTATTCTATGCACACAAATATTTTTGAAAGCTTTCTTACTCCACAGAGTCACCGTGAACACGCCAAACAAAGTCCCACTGACCCACCCAACTGTTGTGTTTCGTTTAATCCGCCATATAGTCCGGTGCGGTTTATATGTGAAAAAAGTTTGAAAATAATTCAATGTGCGCCTTATAATCCAGAGCGGAAAATACGGACATCTGATTTGTGCTGTTAAACAAGTCCCTCTAAAATAAAATTGCAGTGACAAGTAGGGATGCAATGATACAGTTTTACCACGATTTGATATGTATCTCAATAAACACGGACACAATATTGATTCGATTTCAATATATATATATATAAATGCTTATTGTTTTCATTTTTAATATAGTGCAGTGCCATACAGTATCATTTATCATCTACCTCTTTTCCTCTTCTTCTACCTCTTTTAACTACTCTCTTCTTCTACAGCTGAGCTCAACATCATCGCTGCTCTGATCTCAAACTTCTTCCTCTGCTCCTACGGCCTCATCAACTTCAGTTGTTTCCACGCGTCAATCACAAACTCCCCAGGTTAGTCACCATCTTATAAAGCTGATGTTTAATGTGTATTTATTGTATTTATTATATTATAAACAAGAAGCAGAGGTGGTAGACTGGCCATATATTTTACTCAAATAAGATCAACGTTTCTTCAAAATAATATTACTCAAGTAGAAGTACAAAGTAGTGGTACAAGAAATGTCTCAAGTAAGAGTAACTTCAAGAGTAACTGGGAGTGATTTATAATTTAAAGTTAATGTAATTGGAAAAACAAAACATTAAAAACATCAAATTCTTTTCTCCATGGAGATGTTATTGCTTTTTCTGGAATGTTTCGCAGTATGGTCTTAAACATTTCTATATTCATGGAGACCCAAGTGACCAAGTTACAAGTCAGATCTGTGGAGAGGCGACCCCGCTCACAGTCAGAATGTCTGTTTTTGTAGGTTTTTTAAGCTTTAAAACCAGCTGTAACTGAATAAATGTAAGGCAGAGCTGTTTAATGTCATAGTGTGGAACATTCCAGGCAGGGCAATGACATATCCATAGAAACAAGCAGGTGGTGGACCAAAAAGTTACACTGTGCACCTTTAAATAAAGCACAAAAGCCTCACTTTTTTTGTATTTATATAGATGCAAAAATTAGAAAAACTAAATCATATATGAAAGAAAATCAAATGTTCAAATAATTTCATATTGTCAACATAAAGCTTTTAGACTCACAGTGGGAATGTGAAAATTTTTACTCAAGTAAGAGTACTGTTACTTTAAAAAAAAAATAAAACTCAAGTAGGAAATTACTTAGGTTAAAAAATAAGATTAAAAAGTACTAAAATGTAACATGACTCTAATACACGATGATAATAATCCTGTTATGTGCTGCCCCCTGCAGGTTGGCGGCCGGCGTTTCATTACTACAGTAAATGGACTGCGTTGTTTGGAGCAGTGATCTCCATCGTGCTCATGTTTCTGTTCACCTGGTGGGCTGCCCTCGTCACATTTGGGATCATCTTTTTCCTCTTTGGTTACGTCAACTACACCAAGCCCAGTGAGTCCAGCTTCTGTTTTCATGTGCACCTTTCTTAAAATGTCCTATATTATGCGAAATTCACTCTTGGGAGATTAAACCACATTAGAATCTTGTTACCTCTTCAAAAACATATACTGAGTTGTGTTTTGTTTCATTCACACATGTTTAAGTAATCCTTTTTTATTAGTCTGTCTACATCTCTAAAGCTCAAATTGCTCTGTTGCATCTTGTGATGTCATGAAGTTGTAGTTTTCAAGTTAACAGCTACAACTTTTTACCTTTTGTGAAGTAGAGATTGGCAATTCTAAGGTTCAAATTATCCCGATTATTCTAGTTAAGCTGTCTGGAGTTTAAAAATGCAGTTGAGAACTTTCTGTATTAGCACATGACATCACAAAGTAGAACAGAGTGTTTTCAGTTTAAGAGAAGCCTAAATCTGCAGGTTTGAGTGTTAAAAATGTGTGAATGAAACAAAACACAACTCCAGGTCTGTTTGTGATAAGGAAATACAGTAACATTAAAACATAGATGAGAAAATAGCCTGTGACTGTATTTATTTATTTATTTATTTATTTTTTAAGTAAGTCCTTTATAGTCACACTCGGCTAAAAAAAAATAAATAAATAAACTCAGATCAAAGTCTAACTTCAGTAAGCAAACAGTGCCTCGAGTTAGCATCACAACTCCAAGGAACATTGACGAAATCAGCTGCAAAGTATCAATAGATGCATCAAGAATTTTGGACGTCCGGTCATTGCACAATTCATACTGGGAAGGATTTTCCAAAAAAGTGAGCATCAAACCTCCATGTTTGTTTTCCCAGTGGGCTGCATCTATTGACAAAGTCAGTCTTTTCTAGTCTTTTGAACCATATCGCTTTTGTTTCTGGTTCTGATATTGTCATATTTTAGTTTTGGGATTTATATGGAGTAAGAAAGCTGTCAAAATATTTGTGCGCATAAAATAGAAATCCGTGCGTATTTGGGAAATCCGTGCATATTTGGCTGTAGTTGCGCATAAAATAAATATTTGTAAACTCTCAAATGAGTCCAGTCGTACATAAAATATATTGTGTGTATTTTATCCATCAGAATACGAATTGAAAAATTACGACGTCATGAATTACAATCACGAAATGAAAATTTACGATTACGCTTTCATCAGTACGAATACGAATTCACAGACGGAACTTTACTGTCAAAAATACGTCATCACTTCACAGACATTATCCATCGAGCAGAAGAAACATCGATCAAGATCAAGACTGTGCAGCTCAAGTTTGTAGCAGAGGGTAAAAACAGAGTAATAGCACAAGGAGCTACAACAGCGACCAACAAGTGGGTTAATTAAAATCTATTGTAAAAATGTCTTGAATTCGGGAACCGAACGCTGCTGTATAATATTGTGTAGAAACACCTCCTCTGAACGGGAAATTGCACCTATATGTTAGATAACATAGTGGAGCCAGTTGGCAACATCCGACGTAACGTCATCCCAGGGCTAATTAGCAAATATCAGGTTCTCTGTATGTTTTAGATTAAAACATTCACGGCTACAGCCACAGCGAGCATCATCAGTCTTCTTCACTTCAGCTGCATTTCTCGCATGAAATGCCACCAAAAGTTCCTCGGGACGCTGAAAATGTCCCAGTTTACACCAAACACTACCAAGACGTCACAGCTAATGAAATGTTACACATTACAGTTTAATGCAGCTTCCAGCATCAATTAATGTTCGTGTTTACAGGCAACACCTTGGTATATATATATATATATATATATATATATATATATATATATATATATATACAGTATTTACTGGTAAGTATAACGTCACAGTGACGTGGATGGATTTGCTAATTATAACCCATTATAACTCATGTATAACCCATTGTCTGAAATGCAGCACTGAAAAGTGAAGACTGACTGATGCTCGCTGTGGCTGTAGCCGTGAATGTTTTTAATCTAAACATACAGAGAACCTGATATTTGCTAATTAGCCCTGGGATAACGTTACGTCGGATGTTGCCAACTGGCTCCACTATGTTATCTAACATATAGGTGCAATTTCCCGTTCAAAGGAGGTGTTTCTACACAATATTATACAGCAGCGTTCGGTTCCCGAATTCAAGACATTTTTACAATAGATTTTAATTAACCCACTTGTTGGTCGCTGTTGTAGCTTCTTGTGCTATTACTCTGTTTTTACCCTCTGCTACAAACTTGAGCTGCACAGTCTTGATCTTGATCGATGTTTCTTCTGCTCGATGGATAATGTCTGTGAAGTGATGATGTATTTTTGACAGTAAAGTTCCGTCTGTGAATTCGTATTCGTACTGATGAAAGCGTAATCGTAAATTTTCATTTCGTGATTGTAATTCATGACGTCGTAATTTTTCAATTCGTATTCTGATGGATAAAATAAACACAATCTATTTTATGTACGACTGGACTCATTTGAGACAGTTTACAAATATTTATTTTATGCGCAACTACCAAGCCAAATATGCACGGATTTCCCAAATACGCACGGATTTCTATTTTATGCGCAAACGGATATTTTTGACAGCTTTCTTACTCCATATAAATCCCAAAACTAAAATATGACAATATCAGAACCAGAAACAAAAGTGATATGGTTCAAAAGACTAGAAAAGATCGGCTTTGTCAATAGACGCATCCCACTGGGAAAACAAACATGGCGGTTTGATGCTCACTTTTTTGGAAAATCCTTCCCAGTATGCAATGCGCAGTGACCGGAACTCCAAAATTATTGATGCATCTATTGGAAAATATGATACGTTATAATAAGTATGATGTAATAAAAGTAAGAAATTTTTGACCTTTTGGATCTGGTACATGATTTACAGTTGGATGTCTTTTTTTTTAACTCTTGTAACCATAGAAACAATCATAGAGTACTTATCAATTTTATTTGTCATACGCAGAGGTAAACTGGGGCTCGTCAGTTCAGGCCGGTACATACAACATGGCTCTCTCGTACTCGGTCTCTTTATCTGGTGTAGAAGACCACGTCAAGAACTTCAGGTAAGAAACTAGACCTTTACAGTAAAACTACACACATTATTCATAGTACGGCTTTTGCGTTTTTTGTTTTTGTTTTTTTTATTATTGTTGTAAGGTGTCCTTGAGTGTCTATAAATGTGCTTAATAAATACAAATGTAAAAACTATTATTAAATGTAACTATTGATATTATTATTTTGAATGCTCTCTAGGCCTCAGTGCATGGTGCTAACTGGACCTCCAAACCAGAGACCTGCTCTTGTGGACTTTGTTGGTTCATTTACAAAGCACGTCAGCCTTATGATCTGTGGAGATATCATTATGGTAAGTCACTGAAGTACTCTGACAATAAAGAGGGAGAGATACTTTATTCATTTCATTGAGCTGAAGGAGCGTGTTGCTATATAACTGCTGCATATACACATATACACATTTGGAGTTTAAAGATAGTCATTGCCGTTTATTGCTTTCTCTTGTAGGAGCAGGACAGAAAGCATCGCGCCCCTAATGCCACAGACTGGTTGGTTAAGTGGATGAACCAGAGGAAAGTGCGCTCGTTTTACACACCTTTCAGCAGTGACAGTCTCAGAGCGGGGGCTAGATACTTGTTGCAGGTAAAGCACGAAATTAGATACTGAAATTGAAATAAAGATGCACTGTGTAACTTTTTAACAGGGGTCTGCTATCTGTTTGTCTTTTGCTAGATGTTGTTGTTTTGCCTGGACTGTTCCACTGTAGAGTATTGAACTTATCTTTCTTGAATTTGTTCATGTATACATTTTTTAGTGTGCAAAAGTACTTTGAAAACGGGTCGCCTCTCCACAAATCTGACCTCTAATTCCTCCAACTGTTTCCATGGATACAGATTAGTAATAATGCCATACTGTGGAACATTCCAGGTACAGCCCCATAGACTGTATAAAGAAGTGGATTAAGTGAGTGACGTCACCCATAGCATTCAGCTCCAGTCAAATGAAGCTCATCGAGACTCGCAGTTACAAAAACAAATTTGGCACCAAACCCCATATCAGCCGGTTTCACTTTGTGGAAACCATCTGACCTCGCAGCATTAGAATTTGTTCTCTCAACGGTAGGCGGGTATTTTATTTTTTTTTTTACCAGTCAAATGCGCCAAATCCTGTAGGAAGAAGGGCAAAAACGTCTTTCCCCTTGATAAAATTCACCAAACATTTACTTTGTTCTGACTTTAAATCCTCAATCTCGGGAATCGTTGTCTTCGTCTACATCCATCAAAAGGGACCCAGACAGGCACTTGAGTTTGACGTCATGGTTTCACTCCTCTTTGCTGATTGGCCGGTGTGCGGTCTACAACTTCCGGGGTTCCTGTAAACCGTCTAGTGTATTCCAATTCCTGACCCAGTCGCTGGAGAGAAATAAAATTGAGCGGAGGCACTAGGTGGCTCCTGCCTAGCTAATATTTGGAATTCCGACCACAAGTATCATAGCAACTAAAGACTCAATACGGAGCACGGCTGTTGAAGGTAATGCCACTTCCTGCCAGCACCGCTCGTTTAGCAGGGAGCAGGCTTTTAGCAACACTGTCAATCAAACCTGTTGCTAAAACTAGCTGGAGAGACTTCGACAAAAGAAGGCGCCTGATTTGTCTGTAATGTTCACATCTTGATTTACTTATGAAAATGAAACAGCAGGTTAATAAAAACATTTTCAGACTAAAATTACGAGGCTCACGGCAACAGTTACAGAGAGAGGGGCGACGATTTTTCAATGTAAAGTCAACTGGAGCCAGAGTCGATGGAGCCAGAAGTGCGCCCATGCTCACTTCCTATTTGCTAGAGCATTACCTATGTCCATTTATATACACAGTCTAAGCAAAGCACCAACATTTTCATGAAACAAACAGATGAGAGATCCAACACCAGAAAAGTTGCATAGTGTTGTAATACATAACTCATAATGTGCACTTTTATTTTGAAGGCGTCTGGACTTGGAAAGCTAAAGCCGAACACTCTAGTACTCGGATTCAAAGCCAACTGGAGGGAAAGTTCTCCAGAAAGTATTGAAGATTATATCACCACAATTTAGTAAGTACAACAAAGAAAATTATGTTTATCCTTCTGAAATATTTTCAAACTCATTTTTCATTTTTGTTTAGTGATACTTTTGACTCCAATTATTGTCTGTGCATCTTAAGAATGATGGATGGGCAGGATGTCTTGGACCAGTTTGACTCTGAAGGTAAAGGATTTTATATTTTTAAAGACGTATTAGTAAAGTATTATGCAAGATCAACTTTTTGAAGCTTTGTACCATGTTATAACCAGTGATGAGATGTAACAAAGTAAAAGTATTCAAGTGCTGTACTTAACTGAAAAATGTAGGTATCTGTACTTTACTTAAGTACATTTTAAAGTGGTAGTAGTACTTTTTACTTTTACTTTACTACATTTGAGAGCAGTTATCTGTTCTTTCTACTCCACTATGTTTTTGAAGAGGACTGAAAAGTGAAAGTATTTTCTTAATATAGTTTGATACCTGCAGAAAAGGCTGAAGCTTTATTTTTTACACGTTCATACAAATACAAATATACAAATAAAAATAACTAAGAAAAATAAATCATTGATTCAGTTGTTTCTGTTGAACAAAATGCAGCACAAATCTGTATCAAAATCACTACACTGAAAGCTTTATTAGACCTTAAAATCGGTGTGAAGTGCTTTTAATTTTTACTCCTACTCCAGTACATTTTTAAACAGATACTTATACTTTTACTTAGTACATTTTTTCTTGTGATACTTTTACTTTTACCTGAGTAGTTGCCTGAGTAGTAGCTCCAATATTTGTACTTTTACTTAAGTAACAACATCAAGTACCTCCATTGTTCCCTCATCAAAAACGAAACAAAACTGAAGAGGTTTTAGATGTCATTTATACATGTTTCAGTAATTTAGCGATCTCTCCTTGGCCCTAATATAATAATAATTTTTGTATCAAAGTGTGGTATGATTTTGTAGATATTCATTTAGTTTATTTGCAATTTATTTTATTATTTACAGTGAATTCGGGCTTTGAACCTGATGAACCCACTGAAAACGACGACCAACAATCTCCAGAAAGAGATTCAGGTAAAAAGAAATAATAAAGATATTTGATGTAATATTTTGATTATTTTTTTTACATTTCCTTGATATCCACATAATCATTTGAAGCACAGTTGGCGCCAGGTTAGGTTTGTAGCCAAATTAAATGTTTAGTAAAAAGGTTTAGTCACAAAACCAAGCAGGCAATGACAAACAATATTGAAAATCGGGTTTAAAGGCCTCTTACCTGATTCTTTTTACCATATATCTTAGCAAGTGATGGACCCTAACCAAAAAGTACATAATGCAAGTTTAAGACAGTAAAAATCAAGTACAGCGAACAGAGAACGTGTAAGCAAATTTGTATCTGTTTTGTCTTACAGCGGACGACGTCTCTGATAAAGGCAGCAGAGATCAGGTCAAAACCGTGTTCCAGAACGACCAGGGGAAGAAGACCATAGACGTGTACTGGATCGCTGACGATGGAGGTCAGTTTGAATTATTTTTGGGTTTCACTTTCCAGTTATATGCGCCATTTTGAGGATGCTTTTTCACGTTCAAAAGCCACTAAAAATAAAATAAGTACTTTATTATGGCTAGAGGAACATGCCCTCTCATTTCAACCACAGAGTTAAGGAGTGCGTATTATGACACTTTATTTTTTTTAGCTGTCTACCATGTTATAGCATTGTTTCCTCATTAAAAACATGTCTGAGGAGGTTTTAGATGTTATCCATGCATGTTTGAGTAATTTAGCGATCTCTCCTGGGCCTTATTCAAACCCTTCTTAGACATAGACTTTATTGATCCACAAGGGAAATTATTTAGACACAGTAGCTCACACATCACAATAATATAATAACAAAGAGCAAAAATATAAATGGTAAAATAAATCCTTACGGGTAGCTGTAAGATTCTGTGCAATGCTCCGCCCACAAGTCTACATCACCTACGCTCCCACATGACAATTCTCCAGATATATACAAAAACATGATACATGAATCTTTGGTTAGATGCAGCCAGTCTCTTCTTTACCTGCAAAGCAACCAGGAGAGGAGGGGGGAGTCGTGTCTTTTCTCTCATTCCTCAGATCCGAATCTAGGCTCAAATCTACGGAAGCCGAGAGGGGTCCCAACAAACGCAGACGCTGCAACAAATACAAATGCGACAACACAACAAAAAGCCACAACACACCAAAAAAAGCCACAACGGAAATGACCGCGCGACTCTATTTTAATGCAAACGCCGCAACAAATACAAAGGCCACAACACAAATGCAAATGCCGCAACACATTAAAAAGCCGCAACACATTAAAAAGCTGCAACACATTAAAAAGCCACAACGGAAGTGACTGCGGGACTCTATTTCCCGACAGACTGATCAAGCAGCAAGTGAAGAAGAAGAACTACAACGTGAAACGAATAATGATAAAACAATAAATTACTTTTACTTACGTTTCCAACTTCTCCGTTCCTTTACTTTTCACGTTGTAGTTCTTCTTCATTTGCTGCTTGATCGTTCCGTCGGAAAGTAGAGTCCCGCGGTCACTTCCGTTGTGGCTTTTTAATGTGTTGCGACATTTGCATTTGTGTTGTGGCGTTTGTATTTGTTGCGGCATTTGCATTAAAATAGAGTCCCGCAGTAATTTTCGTTGTGGCTTTTTTTGGCGTGTTGTGGCTTTTTGTTGTGTTGTCGCGTTTGTATTTGTTGCGGCATTTGCGTTTGTTGTGAGGATTAAACAGGAGATGGAGATAGATTCAGCTCAGGATTGTAGGATAAGCCTGGATTTGTTAAGCGACTTCGATGAAATACCCCCTAGTATTGAATGTACATTAACAGAGTAGTTATGTTTATACACAACACTAGGACCAATTTAGTAAAACACAACTGTATGCCTTATATATATTAGGGTGTCCTTGCTCCAACTCTCCATCAGTTTGGGGGTCCCTGGTCTGAAAAACATTGAAGACCCCTGATCTAGTATTTATTCAATCATAGGTGTTTTTATCCTTCAAAACATTGCATTGCTACTGAGAGTGGGCTCGCCTGTCCACAGATCTGACCTGTTACTTGACCTGGTGCGTCCGCTTCTTGACTCCATGAAGACAGATTTAAGTTTCAAGCCGTACTGTGGAATATTGCAGGCAAAGCAATGACATAACCACGGAGACAACTAGATAGCAGACCCTCCACGAGAAATGTTCCTCAGTCCAGCTTTAAAGATGGTAAACATGTGACTGAATGGTCCTAGGTCTGACTCTCCTGGTGCCGTATCTGCTGACGAGGAGGAAGAGATGGCGTCGCAGTAAAGTCAGAGTCTTCATCGTGGGAGACGAACAGAACATGGAGGACGGACGTAATGAGTAGGTTTTCCCTGTTTGCTTTTTTTAAGTACTTGATGGCATAGCTGTAACCATGCTCTGTCTGAAGGTCTGTTACTCAAATTAGACCTTAATCTGATCTTTGATGTTTTAACACAATCTGGAGCTAAAGAACTGACATAACTAAAGCTACAATATTTTAGTCACTCTCACCTTTTTGATAAAGTCAAACTCCTAAACAGGACCATGAATGATCATATCGATCACAGGCTCCTGAAAATGTGCTGTTTAAATCCATTTTGTATTTTATCTTGAGTTTTCAGACTTTTTGCCAGCGATTGCTAATGCGTGCACTGTGTCCCACAATAACTGCTGAACAATCCACCATAGAAATACATGTAGAAAGCACCTAACGTGATGTCAGTGCAAAGTATCTATTGCACTATTTTCTCATCAAAAATATACAAACCCTGCAAATGTAGATTGAGTACTTCTCTCAAACTGAAAACACCCGCCCATCAAAACTAGATAGCTACTGATTTGAACACGTATCTATAGACGCATCAAGAATCTCAGACTTCCAGTCATTGCGCAATGCATACTGGGAAGGATTTTCCAAAAAAGTGAGCATCAAACCACCAAGTTTGATTTCCCAGTGGGATGTGTCTATTGACAAAGTTGATCTTTTCTAGTCTTTTGAACCATATCACTTTTGTTTCTGGTTCTGATATTGTCATATTTTAGTTTTGGGATTTGGACATCATTAATTGTGTGGTTGTTGGATGTTCTAACAGTGGAAAACGGCTTGAGAAATTTGTTTGCGAACTCCATAAATGCAAAAGGGAATCAGATCTGTGTGACTGCAAACCTCTGTTCAAACTGTTTCCCTTCCCAACGGAATTGAAAAATACTGCAAGATGAAGGCGATGGGCAGGATTGATTCACAGGAAAGACAAAAAAGGAAACTTTCACGGCCTAAATCATCCCGAGTTTGTAGTGAACATTTTGTATGTGGAGTGCCATCAAAGCAAAATCCCGATCCCTCGCTCCACCTTGGTTACGAATTTAAAAAGTCAGCTCCAAAGCAAAAGGTACCAGCTGTTCACCATGAAACACCTTCCACTGCAAAGCGACCAAGATGTGATGTTGCTGTAAAACCACAAGAACAAGAAAGTGCAGCTCAGCCTGTTTGTCTTCTGCACCTCTCACTTAACAAACAGGATCCCACTTTGATGGAGCTCCACATACAAAATGTTTGCTGCAAACTCGGGATGATTTAGACAGTCAAAGGTTTCCTTTTTCGTCTTTCCTGTGTATCAATCCTGCCCATGGCCTTCACCTTTCACTATTTTTCAATTCCGTTGGGAAGGGAAACAGTTTGAACAGAGGTTTGCAGTCACACACATCTGATTCCCTTTTGCATTTATGGAGTTCGCAAAGACATTTCTCGAGCCGTTTTCCGGTGCTAACACATCCAGCAACCACACAATTAACGATGTCCTGAATCCCAAAACTAAAATATGACAATATCAGAACTAGAAACAAAAGCGACATGGTTCAAAAGACTAGAAAAGACTGGCTTTGTCAATAGACGCATCCCACTGGGAAAACAAACATGGAGGTTTGATGCTCACTTTTTCGGAGAATCCTTCCCAGTATGCATTGCACAATGACCAGAAGTCCGAGATTCTTGATGTGTCTATTAGGAGTGTAAGGGTAAACAAAAATCACAGTTTAGTATGTGCCTCAGTTCTGAGGTCACGGTTCGGTTCATTTTCGGCACAGTATGGGAACAAAATTCAAAACCATTTGCTTGTTATTTAAACAGTTTGTTTTAACAACATTTATACAAATGGGAAAATAAAATAAATGCAAAGTGCTGCTTGGTAATACTAAGTTAAATAAAATATTCTCAAATAAGCAACAAATATATTAAATATTATAAAAAATAAATGCCTTGTAAACAGTAAAGAAAGCTATTCAAAACGTACATGGGAATACAAAAGAAAGTACTATGATTTAATGTTGAAAATCACATTCTATTATCTAAAGAAATTGTGTTTTTATTAGTAGTAGTTTTTTATTAGCATCATGTTATTGGAATCAGTATTGAGTATCGAGTCTATCCCTTTGTACTGAAATTGAGTTTGAAATTTTGACAAATGGCAAGACTAAATGTTGCTATAATTTTTACTCTGCAAGTAAAATGTATAGGAAAACTGAAAATATAATGTGATAATCTAAACATACACTGCTTTGTTTGTAGGATGTTGGCTCTGTTGAAGCGGTTTCGTCTGGATTTCAATGATGTTATAGTCATGACGGACAGCGAGAAGCGCCCGCAAACAAAAAAGTTGGTGTAAAAATCTAAATGCATATGAAACTCTATCTGGCCATATATTTGACTTTACTTACCTTGTGTGTCTCTTTGATGGTTAACAGTCTGAACAGGTTTGTGGAGTCCGTCGCCCCCTTCAGGTTGTATGATGAACAGCAGGATGGTGTGTCTCTGCAGGGCCTGAGGCAAGACTACCCATGGAAAATATCAGACAAGGAGTTTGAGGCTTTCAAACTTAAGGTCTGTCACTATTTTTTTTCTTTTTTTGGTATTCTTTTAATAAGTTTAATTCTGTAACTAAACTGTAATCTAATTGAACAGTCACATTAATAGATACGTCACACCATTCTATACTATACTGCCCCATAATAATTATTTGTTGCCTCCACAGTCTGAAAGAAAAGTTCGATTGAATGAAATCATCAGGAAGAATTCTCAGCACGCCTCCCTTGTTCTTGTGTGAGTATTACGTACCCAATAAGTAGTTACTGCAATCAAACACAAATATTTGTAGCTCTTAACGCTCATTTATGATCCACTTTTCACGTAAACAGATCAGTGTGTTCCAAGTGTAGTAACTGTCACTGCATTATATTTCCAAATGTCTCCAATTTTAAAGCTGTGTTCTTTTAAATAACCACAAGAGGGCAATAAAAATCTGTTTGAGAATTGACCGAAACAATAAAATAGAGCAACACATAAACAAACATGGTGGCGCTCATGGCAGAGTCAAGAACTATGAAGTGAGAGAAGGCTTTATTTGTTGTTGCAGCTGGTTCTAGTCACGTTTTTAAAAAGTTTAGTTTCTGCTGTCGAGCTCTGTCCACTACTGCCCCCGGTGGTCAGCTCATGTATAGCTGCAGCGATAAGATTCCACATGTTCTGAGGAGACGACCAGATAAAAGACAGAACAACGCAGGAGATGGACAGAGGTCTCTATGTGTATCTGTATGCATTTGGAATGTAGAACATAAATGAGCCTTTTGACACAAGTGCATGCTGATGTTGTGTCCTTAGGCAAGACACTTCACTCATTTGCCTAGTATTTAGAGAGAGAGAGAGAGAGCTACTTTATTGATCCCCAGGGAAATTTTGCTGCAGCAACATTAACATTGCGCTTCTTAGTCACTCAGTCAAGGATCTCAGTATATGAATGTGTAAGTGTGGTGGTTGGAGCTGATGATGCAGATTAGCAGTCTCACTTCTGTCAGTCAGTCTTACCACTGTGAGTGTGGAGAGAATGAATAAATAATGCAATGTAAAGCACTTTGGGTGTCCTATACAGTAGTCTTAGTACAATTTCACCATGAACTGAACTGCACTAGCTAACATATATTTCGAGGATATTAAATAATTTGATTTCAGCTTCATAATATAGACCAGTGATTCTTAACCATAGGTGCCCAGAGTAGGGCCGGGACCACCTCCTTGGGGGCCGCACAATCAGTACAATATAATGCATTTAATTTAAGATAGGGTCACAGGTTACTTTGTTCAGAAAAAGTCAGGCCCCAAGATTGAAAAGGTTAAGAACCCCCGATGACATTTTGAGGATTATGTAAAATGTTTTATTATCAGAATTGCCAGTACTACCACATTAGATTCGATTTTTTCCTCCCAATCCATCCATCTTATTTATATAGCACATTTCATGAACAATAACATTATTAATACTTTTAAATATTTAACTTAAGGTGGGTTCAAACTTGTCCTAGTTTGAGCCCAGTTTAGTCCAGGTGTAGGCCCAATTTGGTCCTGTTTGATTCCTGGTTTAGACCTGTCAACAGGAAAAACTGGCTCTTGCCCCGCATCTGGAAGTATGACATCATCACATTTTAGAATCTGAAAACTACTGACTGTGTTTTCAGGAGCCTGCCCGTCCCTCAGATCGACTGTCCTAGTGCTCTGTACATGGCCTGGCTCGACACTCTGACCTGTGGCCTGCACTGCCCCGCCGTGCTCATCAGAGGAAACCAGCAGAATGTGCTCACCTTCTACTGCCAGTGATCCAGACTCAAGTGATCCAGACCCCAGTGATGCAGATAAAGTAAACCAGACCCCAGTAATCGAAAATCAAGTGACCCAGACTCCAGTGAACCAGGCTCAAGTGATCCAGACCCCAGTGAACCAGACTCCACTGATCCAAATAAAGTCAACCAGACCCCAGTGATCAAAACTCAAGTGATTGAGACTCCTGTGATCCAGACTCAAGTGAACCCGGCTCAAGTGATCCAGGCTCAAGTGATACAGATCCCAGCGACCCAGAATCAAGTGATCCAGACCCCAGTGAACCTGGCTTAAGTGAACCAAACCCCAGTGAACTAGGCTCAAGTGATCCAGATACAGTGAACCAGACTCCAGTAAACCAGTCTCAAATGACTCAGAATCCAGTGAACCAGACTATAGTAAAACAGATTCTGGTGATCTAGACTCCATCGATCCAGATACAGTGAACCAACCTCAAGTGATCCTGACTCCAGAGAACCTGCCCCAAGAAATCCAGACTCAAGTAAATCAGACTATAGTGATCCAAACAATAGAGAATCAGCCTCAAGTGATCCAGAATCAAGTGATCCAAGCTCATGTGATCCAGACTCAAGTGAACCAGACTATAATGATACAGTGAACCAGGCTCCAGTGAACCCAGCTTAAATGAACTTGACATAAGCCTAAATCTCGAGTCTAGCTGGAACCGCTGTATGAGGAGCTCCACTACATAGAGTCCAGAGTCAAAAAGTAAAATATATTTTTTTAATCTGGAAAAAATTACTATTGTACTGCTGTAATGCTAAATGGTTAGGTTTAGTTTGGGTTAGATGTTGATTATCGAACCACACTCATGTGAACTCGATTTATGTAATCTAACTAAATCTAATTGTGAATGTCCTGATACGTATCACATTGCATTAAGATTAGTATTATGATATTTAAAGAAAAAGAAAACCTATTAAGAGAGGTGAAAGACTGCACTATGAACTGCTGATTGTGGGATCTTTATTTATTTTTATTATTTGTGTTTGGTCTTGTTTTGTGTTGAGTAATATTTGTTTTTGCACTTTATTAGGTTGTTATATATCTCTGTGTCACATATGAGACAGATACAGAAATAGGAAATTATGAGATACAGAAATAGGAAATTCTACAATGTACAGAATTTAAAAAGTTCAAAGGATTAATTGTTGAAAATGTTTTGTGTATAACACTAGAGAACTTGTTAATACCTGTCATGACATGTACTGTAAATATTGTATACAAATAAAACTGAATTATTGAAAACCTCATGCAGCTCAAATATCACGTATATTTTTATTAGAAGTAATGAGAAAACGCAGCTAATAATAATTAAGTTGAATTATTCCGTAGTTAGCGTTGATGTGTACTTGGGCAAGACACACTTTTTTAGTTGACTGTACACTAGCCTGGACAAAACATGTAGAGATGACTTGCACAAAAATAATAAGAGCAATCGCAATGATTAAAAGGCATAGTAAAAGTTTAGCAGAAAAATAAACTAAAAAGATAACAGATCATACAAAACCAAGCAGTTAAACAGTCTATATATGGAACTAAAACCTAGGCCTGTCACAATAACACATTTTGAAGTACAATATAGCAGTGAAGAATAAGATGATAAACAATAATACTGAATACCATTATGCCAATGACACGATAACACTGAAGCAGGATTTCATCCATAAAACAATTCTAAATGTAAAGTATCAGTAATGCACACAAGCTGCAATAAATAAATAGAACACTTGAGTCATAGAAGTTATTTATTCAACCTTCCACAGTTCAAATTTTCAAAATGTATTGTTCCATCTTGTCATGTATTGAACAATAAGTCACCAAACTCAGGCAGTAAAGTGGTTATCAGTGTTAGGCACCACAAGTGGACCACAAAAAATGACTCAAACAGGGACAAAAATACAAAAGTAACAAGGGTTTATTAACCAGGAAGGATAGGCGGTGGAGAGATGAGGAGCCAGCAGCCAGGATGCAGGAGTCTTCAATGGCGGGAACTAGGAATATAAAAATGCAGGTAAGTATACAGAAAGCAAGGGGAAAAAAACAAAAACTGAGCCGACAGAAAAATCACCATCAGGTAGATGAAACAATCTGGCAGAGTCTGGCAGGAGAGCTGGGCCTTTGAAGCAGACTTGATTGCAGATGGTGTGCAGGTGCTCCCAGCAGACTACCGCCCATGTCCACACACAGAAAGACTCAGGACAGGCAGGGGCGTGACAATCAGTGCAAGATTATCCTTTGTGAAAAATATCCTGGCAAATTCTTCATCAAAGCCTTTCATTTAGTTGAAAAACACATTTACACCTCTAGACATACTACAGAAAATTTCTTCTCCCAAAAGTAAAATGAATGTCATTAAGAGAACATTCACATACAGAGCGATGTATGCATGAAATGTACTTCCAGATTTCAACTCTAGTCTAACCTAGTTATATGTACTACCTACTTGCCTAATGAGCTGTATTCTGTTCAAATCCAGAAGGGTCTGGAATCAGACCACAGAGCATGAAAAATACCATCCAGACTTGAGATGGTCTAACCACAGCTGCTAATTTGTAGCACATGTCTCTCAAATGTGAAAGACATCTCTTAAGATTCACAACAAAATATATAACTTCTTTTACCTGAGATAAGTAATAATCTGGTGCTTTTATTGTTGATTCTGTGAAAATACATGCTGTTTCTTAGTCCTTTATGCATTTTTTTTTTTTTTTTTTTCAACTTTTATGTGCTAACAGCCATGTTTGTTTTTGACGTGAAAAGGACCATGTGTCTCTCTGGTTAGTTAAACCACCTGTCAATCACACCCTCTGAAATAGTCTTTGTTAAGTTTTGTCAGCGTGTGCTTCTAGCTGGACAGGTAAACTATGTACTATAAAAAAATGACATCTGATCGAAATGGGAGAGGATTCTTCTCTGGTTAGTTGGATTACAGATTTCCTCACTGGGAGACCTCAGAGCCGACTGGGGGACTGCACCTCTGACACTGTTGTCTGTACACATCAGACTTTAGATACAACTCAGAGCTGTGTCGCATTCAGAAGTACTCTGATGACATTGTGGGGTGTCTCAGGAACGGTGATGAACAGTACAATGTGTGTGTGTGTGTGTGTCTGTGTGTGAGTGTGCTTATGTTGGGCCTTGATAGAGGGTGGAAGGGGCTAAGAGCGTATGTGCTTGTCTGTGTGGTGCATGTTGTTTTTCAAATAGTATTTAAACAATGTGACAATATGCGATATCTGTTTTAATGCATTTTTGGTCAGTTTATCTATATCTGTACTCTCAGTAATTCCACCAACCTGCTCAGGGACTACAGGTGCCATCAGCATCTTTCCTATGACTTCTGTCTCGGTTAATGTATTGTTGTGCATTGTCCCTGTATAAATAAAAAGCATACCATACCATACTATACCAAGAACGTCAATGTGTGTTTGGATAAGCTGGTGAGGAAGGCAGGCTCCGTAATGGGTGCAGAGCCTGACCATTCACGTCTATGCCTGAGAAGAGGGCCCTCAACAAACTTCTGTCCAGTACTGACAACCTCCAGCACCCCTGCACAGGTCAGGAGAGCACCTTTGGGGGACAGGCTGTTGTCCCTGTCCTACTCAACAGACAGACTCTGCTTTGATAGCGGCATTCAGATCATCTGCATTGTTGGCTCTGGTGTCTCTCATCTTCCTCTTGACAATACCCATAGATTCTCTAGAGGGTTCAGGTCAGGTGAGTTTAAAGGCCAATCAAGCATAATAACATAAGTCACTGAACCAGCTTTTAGTACCTTTTGGCTGTGTGTTAAGGTGCCAAGACCTGCTGAAAAATTAAATCAGCATCTCGACAAACTTGTCAGCAGAAGGAAGCATTAAGAGTTGTAAAATATCTTTGTAGATGGCTGCGCTGACTGCAGACTTCAGGAAACACAGTGGACAAACACCAGCTGATGACATGGCAGCCCAAATCATCACTGACTGTGGAAACTTCACCCTGGACTTCAGGTAACGTGGATTCTGTCGCTCTCCACTGATCCTCTGGGATGACTTAGACAAACTTTATTCATCCACAAGAGAAATTACTTCATTTCTTGAGTGGATTTTGCTTGAGAAACCTCTCAGTGCTGCGGTCATCCCTCTTTGCTGGTGCACCCTTTTTGTTTTCTGTTTAAGTTTCTATGAATATGCTTGAATACAGCGCTCTGTGGAAAAGCAGCTTTTGTAGCTTTGGCCTTTTGTGGCCTTTTGTGTAGCCCGCTGACCCAGACTGAGGAGCATTTACAGACTCAGGAAACATTTGAAGGTGTTTTGAGTTCATAAGCTGATTATGATGTGACCATGACTTTCCAATATTGAACTTTTTCATAATATTCAAAATTTCTGAGATTGACTAGTATGTTTACCACAGATACTACCCCAGCAAGTCATAATTAGAAAAACAGGCCTACCTGTCATGTCCATAAACAAATGTAATAAACAAATGAAAAAAAATCAAATTTGTTTATTACGTACTAGTTATGAAGTTCAACATATAGTTCTGTAGAAAATATCTGCATGGTGATCAAACAAGCTCATTGTACAAGGTTTGGATGGCATGACACCAAATGCAAATTGTGAGTAAAAATAAACCAGATAACTGTGAAGTGAAGACAGACAAACATTTGGTATTATGCTTCATTTCATTTCTGGGTTAAACACATTTTCATATTTTTTCATATTTAAATTCAAACTAACTTAGAATATCTACTGTAGAAGAGCGCAGAGCAGCAGAGCGCAAGAGGGGAGCAACTCAACAACAAGCAATCAACTACTGCAGGAGGTGCTGTACTCCACAGCAGCAAACTGGACCCAAGATGATTCTGATACTGATTGGTTTGCTCAGTGAGTATTTCTATTCTTATCCACCTCATTTTATTTTATTAACATTTTTTCTAAAGCTTTTGACGTCATCTTCGGTGTTACCTAATAGTACTTATTTACTTAAAATATATTCTGAAAACAATGATTTGCTTTGTATCAATTTAAAAAGGTGACATACTTACAATCAGATAATCCTGAGTATCTTTTATGGTGTTGTGGAGTTAACTCGCTCCTACATAAAATACTAGGCAAGTTAAGATGATTTAAATTAAGAATGTATTATATTAATTGTGGCCATACCGGCTGGACAAAGCCTGATCCCATCAGATCTCTGAAGCGAAGCAGGGCCAGGCCTGGTTAGTAGTTGGATGGGAGACCACTTAGGCAAGGCACTTCACCCTCATGGCCTAGTATGAAAGTGGTGTGTGTGTGTGTGAGTGATGGTGGTGGTCGGAGGGGCCAATGGTGCAGATTGGCAGCCTTGCTTCCATCAGACTGCCCCAGGGCAGCTGTGGCTACAATAGTAGCTTCCCACCCCCGGGTATGGAGTAAATGTATCATGGTCTTTAAAGCGTCTTTGAGTGTCCAAAAAAAGAGCTATATAAAACTGATGCATTATTATTAATTTGAGTCTTTTTTACTGAACCATTCTGGACTATTTTTTTCTCTATTTTCAATGTTTCTATGGAGCGCAAACAAATGTGTGAAGTCTGTGATACTGAGGCTTTGTTTGACCTCTGCTGTCTGATCCACTCTCATTTTAAGAGTCTGATTACACAGAGGAAAGTCAGGTTTCTGCCTGAATCTTTTGGAGTAAATTAAGAAAAGGTCTAGTCGGTGCCCTGGGAGTGGCCTGAGAGACAGTAGACTGAGCATTTGTCAAAGCTGAAGCAGATCTCTCTAACACATGAGATTTAGAGACTTGTGATTAGGCAAAAAGAGTCCAGACGGAATTCAGATAAAAGTCCTATTACATTTTTGTGTATTTTGGGGTTATTTTTGTATTTGTAGATTTGGAGTACAAACTGGTCCAGATTCTTCTCAGAATGGTTGATCTGACTGAAAATAAGCGAGTGACAGATTTCCTTTACTGTTTTACATAACAGTAATTCCCTTTTATCAGAAGGTGGACAAACTATTATTAATGAATAAGAGAAAAGTGCATGGGCCCTCAGAATGGGAAAGAGCTTTAAAGTACAATTATTTACCAATAAAAGCCTACAAAAGGTTATTAAGACTTAATTCATAATGAACAAATACTTAATTAGTCATTCACTCAGAGTCATTAAGGCTTAATAACTACGTCATTACTACTTTAATTAACACTTAACTTCTACTTAATTAGCCTGTGCTGTAAATAGTTATTGATAATTATTTCATACTTAGTTACTCATGAA